AAGTCCATAGTGCGCGCGCGACATGCATCTTCAAGATGTAAACTATTTAGCCCACAACTAGTATTTATTACAGACTAGCGCGATTAGAACATTGCTTTCCAATGTGTTGACGCATAAACCATTCACAGTATTAAAATAAAGAACAATGGATACTAATTAATGATAATGATAATGATAAAATAATTCAGGCATAGCAGAATTCCGGAAATTAAAAATGATAAGTACGCGCTTGTAACGGTTACTTAATTATCTTCCATTGGATTTGTCACAACATGAATAAATTAAAAAAACTCTTGATTAGAATTATTTAACAAAAAATAGAGAGTAAACGAAATATGTCGATAAAGTTTTTATTACATAAAAATGTACATATACAAGCGCCAGCATTATGTCGATACACACACTAATATGTTTAATATTTTAGAAATAATTAGAATATTATAATGTAATATATGAAATGGAATTGTTTGATGAATCATGCATGAAGGAGCGCTTTCACAAATATATCGCTTGATCCGTTAACACACAACGGTACATTGAGCACAAGAGCAGCGTAGCGCAAGTACAGCGTGGTTTACAAAATAACCACTCCCCATATATTTAGTGTAGTCGGTCAGAATATCTACTTTTATTTTCCCTCCACAGCTACTGTAAACAATGGCGGATACTAAAGAAACACGTCTACGGAGTTTCTGGCTCCGCTACGGTCTTCTTTTAAGGAACTTCGGATTCGTGGGAGTTCTTGCACTGTATTTAATATTCGGAGGCGTTATGTTTCTATACATTGAAGGCAGTCGTGACGAACAACGAGAGAATGATATTTGCCACATGATGACAAAACTTGTCATGAAGACCGAAGTCAACATCAGCAACATGTTGACCTCTGACATTGTCAATGTAACAGAGAATGTACAGAACGTCAATTTCACTGAGATGCTTACCGATACATTCTCCAATCTGGGGACGGAGCTGTGTGAATTGCACGATGCTGAGCATCCCAACACGATGTTGCCATGGAGAATGTCATCCGCTGTTTTCTTTTGTTTTACAGTTGTCACAACAATCGGTGAGTACGCACACTATTTTTTTGAATACAAGAAGTGATCAATTATAGATATTTATAAGTATAAGTGGCATAATATATAGGGCCTTTTGACAGACAATTCATTGAAATTAACATGACGGGTAAAACAGCAGTGACGTGTCTCAAAAGATTATGTATTATGTATAGCTAACACAATGCGATACATTATCGATTGTAAAGCTATTAATACAAACATTAGTATGTATGTATATACGCTAAGTCACGTTCAACTTTGAATCGCGTTAACCATATAATGTATATGTATCATATAATGTAGCGAATGAATAAATTAATCGGGACAGAGAATTATAAAAACAATGGAAATAATATGGGAAATATCCAGGCGAGAAGTGGCAATTAAATATTAAACTTGTTTTGTATCATTTGTTCACCTACATGTAGCCGATTCATCTAATAGTAGGCTTTATTTCTGAGCAATGCTGTCTAACTTATGTAGTTATTTAAGACAGTACGATATGAATTGTACGGTACCACTACTGTCTATATGGAATGACATTAAATGCTGTATTTAGAGTGAAATCTTCAGAACTAATGTCAGTATGGTGTTGAGCTAGTATATCAACAGTACACGATTTCTCTATAATACGTAACACGTTTGCGATCTATTCAAGTACAGCAGCTACTTTTTTTGCAAATTGGCACAGTTGAGCCCATTTACTGTGAACTTTAGGTCAAAATATTACGTCATAATGGCAGCTTCGCTGAAATTGATGTATGATTCAATAAAGCTGGAACAATATAAAGTGTTCAAGTTTAGTGAACCAATACTGCACACACACATTGTTAAATGAATGTTAATCGAAAAAACAATATATACTACAATGAGATGTAAAATAGTAAGTGCAACTTATTGCAAACAATAAAGTAAAGGCAATATCGAATGAATGACAAACAATGTAATAAACCTATTCATCGTGTTGTCGTTGCCACAGCACTGTTTCTTGTGTTATTTGTGTTGTTACTATTGTGTGTCATACGCACTAAAACACGATTAAGGTGTTGGGATCTGTATGTGCACATCATAGCGTTCATTTCCCTTAAATAAACTTTACAACACTCATTATACTGTCCATTACACTGATCTCATAGCCGTCATGTGGCATGTAAAGAGAATATCTCAAGAATAACCTTAAGTGACATCGGATTTAATCAACGAGTGTTGTAATTACCATTTGCTCCTACAGTCAAGTATCGGAACAAATTGAAATTACGGCACGAGTAATATTGTTGGGTTATGAATTTCAAACCCTGTATATTTCGTAAATATTTCGCAGCTTCTAAAGAGAAAACCTTACACAGAAATTTGAATTTGTAATCATTTGCATAAAAGATGCCGCTCATTGACACTATTGCAATTAGTAAATAGATATAGACATTTATATTTACTGCTAAGCATTGGCACTATTTGTGAGTCATTTCTAACTGGTCTTTTCACAATCCGTGAATATTTTAACTATACATGGTGAAACAAATTATTACAATGCCATTTTTATTTTCATATATTGTTATGCGTGGTTTCGACTTACAAATTATGTTTTTCTTTTCTCCAGGATATGGTAATATCGTCCCAGTTACGCGTGTGGGTCGTGTATTGACCATCGTATATGCTATAGCCGGCATACCACTTCTGTTATTAGTTCTTTCGGTCATTGGACAGAATCTAGCAAAGCGTTTCAAAATGTTCTGTGTCAAGTTGATGTGCCAAAAAGTGAAGGTTGGTGCACGCCTAGAAAGTCCAGTGAGTACGATCAGCACACCGTCCAATACACTCGTCACTGTCCGTAGAAATAACGATACCACTAAAGACACTTTCTACGCGGCATTCGGAGGAGCCTTATGTCGTCATGAAGCCACACAAACAGACGAGTTGACGGACTGCGACAAGAAAGAAAACAGTGCAGGCAATACTAGCACTAGTCCTGAATGCGTCATGTTAATCACCCTTTGTGTTATAATTTACATCACCCTTGGAGCATTAATTCAAGTCTACATCGAGGAATGGTCATTCCTAGACGGGTTTTATTTCATTTTTGTGTCATTATCAACTATTGGCTTTGGAGATGTGATGCCTGAAGTTACTAACGACAAAAGCCGTCAGGCTATTGGGCCATTTTTATGTGTTTACATACTTTTTGGAATGTCGCTGTTGTCAACAATGTTTACGTTAGTACAAGATCGGGTGTTGGAAATATTTTACAGAATCAAAAATAAATTATGTGACACAGATGATTAATTATTCCAGTAAATGTTGTAGCTAAGTAAAATATGATATTAACTTTCATGTGAGTTTCCTGAGACAATCTATGCAAATTTTCACTATGAATAATTTACTAGGTTCGCTATATTAAAATTTCTCAAACATACTCATGTGTGATGAGTTTTACGTATACATTAAAACACCATAAATTAGTGAATATGGTGTCCTAGACGGTTAGCTCAAATTTCAAAAGGCAATTACTTTACATGCATCGAACATTGAAGCGAGGGAGTCGTCATCTGCGCATGCGTCAAATGGCCACAGCGTGTCATTGTATACAAACAAGCGTCTACCCATGAGCCTTTGCGTTTTTAGCGTGCGTTGTTATCGTCGCTTGGGACTCAATTCGCAGGTGTCGACCTTAAAGGCTTCAAGAGTACAAACTTGAATATAAAAACGAAGTTTTCATCGATCTGATATTACACTACGTTATGCACTTGTTACGTACTACCAAAAATATGCTGGAATAAGTCATTACTTTGTTCTCAAAATCGCTACCTACGTTGTCGGTTGAAATGCACGTGGTAACTTGGTTGAAAATAAATAGAGAAATTACCTTTTTTTAGGATTACTACGTGTTTTCTGTCATCTGCAATTTAATGAAGGCAAACGAAGAAAACCACTTGATTTTAAAATCCGTCCTAAATCATGTTAGTTTGGTATAACATGTGAGACAATCTTGTAAGTATAATAATGTATGAGATATTTTGAAAGTTATTTAATTAAAACTGTAAGTTTGAAAAGAGATTGAAACAAACATCACTCAATAACATCAGATCAATACTATGTAAACAATAACAATTTAAGTATGTAGGAATAATTGCTAACCAGCATGCACTCTTTCAAATGTTTCGACAACACGATTGACACATTTTCAAATGAAATAGTTCGGAGAGGGTTAGATATTCCTATGTATCTCAGTTTGGTCGGTTGTTAGGTCCTGCATATTTTTAGTCGTGGGTGTTTATCCTGCACTAGGTGACTTACAATTGTTCACATAGTGTTGATCTGATCTTGTTAATTCATGTTTGTTTCTTCCTCGCCTCCTCTAATTCGTATATTCACTCTTAATCCATTCTCTGGATTCATCAGACCAACTTCACAATAGCAACATTGATGCTCTATCTATTTGACTCTCTCTAAATTATTTATTTTATAAGTTGTTATAAAAGCGTTAAAGGTCATACATGTATGGGTTTGATTTAGAATAATTAACATACATTTCAGCAACGTAATGTCGCATTGAAGATCATCGTTTATCATTAGAGTCATTTTCCAATGAAAGTCTTGCACTCAACTATCAATTGATTTCGAAATCTTTGATAATACACAATTGAACTTGCAAAAATTGCAAAGATTGTATACTGGGTATTATTTTGCCCTAAATCATTGTTATTGAATATTACTTCTACAGTGAGCTAATATTAAAGTGTAATTTTGTGTACACACAAAGCAAAGAAAAAAATACTACACCCCCTTTTCAGACGTATCCAGCGTGTTAAAAAGAATGAACATATCGGAATAGCTTTTAGGTAAATTTAACCCAATAGCAAAATTCAAAATATGATATTGATTCCTCGACTTATATACAGCTGAATATGTGCGTTTACTGGAATTCAAACTTTTCGTAAAATTTTAGAAACGATACCAAATAACTGTTAACATGGATACTTCAAAACAGTAATAAACTGATACAAACAATAACATATTTAAGCTTTTTCTTCGTTGATATAAATTAACGTGCCCAATCTTTAGCCTTGTGGTATTGTTGTCTCGAATGCAGTTACCTCGAATTTCCGGGAAAAGAAAAAATAGTTATAACTCTATTTCAATCCCATTTTCTTCAAATCTCCCCAATTACATATATGAATTCAGGCTATATACATTCCATTTTGTTCACCTTTCACTTTTCTATCCGTCCAATAGTGTGATATTTTAAAAGTATTTTTCTTTAACCAGAGCTCCTCTGGCACAGCAATAATTCACATTAACAATAAAACATGAATTCCTAATATTAGCATTTTCCTGTTGAATTCTGCCTAACGGTTCTATAATTTATGCAGCATGCAATATCTGGTCCAGTAAATGCATGAATTTAAGTGTTAGTTAAGGTAGAGATGCAGGTTCGTGGGCACTTGGGAGTGAATTTTTTTTTTTTTTTTTGCTTTTTATTATCCAAAAAGTCTTGGCTATGGACTGTTGAAATTTTGTAGAATTGTGAAAAGTGGAACATACTCAAAAAACGATTTTAAAATATAGATAACTGGTGCAAAATTATCTCTTTTGAATGCTTAGCAAGATTTACCAAGGCTGTACATAAATAATTAAAAAAAACATGGTGGAAAAAAAGAAATGACGGGATCTCCATATTATGCACTGTATTTAACATTTTACAAAACGATAATACATTTAAATTTGACACTGTAACAGCCATTTTAATTATGAGCATTAGCAAACTTCTTACTGAGTGAATTGTTATGCAAATTAGCAATTATCTCAGCTTCATTTTAGTGCACATTCCAGAATTTAAAAAAAATAGC